TCTCCCGCGTAGAAGCCCATCTCCAGCTTACGTTTGATGGTTGAATTCCAGTGGTTCTTCACAGCGTTGTCGGTCCTACGAGCAAACAGAGGGTTTTAGGGAAAATGACCACATAAAGATGGCCGCCCGGGTTCTCCGGTAGGCGGATATTTAAAAAAAAAAAAATACAGTGGGGGAGATAAGTATTTGACCCCTTGCTGATTTTGCAGGTTTGCCCACTTACAAAGAATGCAACGATCTATAACTTTAATCATATGTACATTCTAACAGTGAAAGACAGAATCACAAAGAAAATTCCAGAAAATCACATCAAATGAATTTATAAAAATTGATAACCACCTGATGAGGAAAAATAAGCATTGTTTGTAAACCTGCAAAATCAGCAAGGGGTCAAATACTTATTTCCCCCATCTGTACGTATCGGCCGGCAGGAGAAAATGCAGATACAGACTCCAGATCCAGTTTTTTAAATTCCTTTAAAAATCCATTACTGATGCTGAGTTAACAGACTATTTTCTATTCAGCTTGTTGGTGTGTTTTGCCTTTTTAAAACAGTTTACAATATTACTTGTGTTAAGTTCTTCTTGTCTTCAACAGTGTTAGTCATGCTTTTTGTTTTTTTTCAGTCAGACAACAATAATCCACAAGGGTGTATTTTTTACCTTTTTACCTTGTTACCTTTAACAAGGTAAAAATACACCCTTGTGGATTATTGTTGTCTGACCGAAGAAAACTAAAAGCATGAGTTTACAATATTATTGTCACTTTTTACTGTTCACTGATGCCATCTCCGTTTGTTATTTATAATTTAATCTATTTAGTATTTATCCCTGAATAAACAGGCCAGTGTTTCTTTACCAACCAGTGTGTGTTATTCAGACTCCCCTAATTCAGATGCTAGTTATCAAAGTAAGTCCCTGTTCAACATGAGTCTGACAGCTAAGTAAGTAGAGAAATAACGTTTAGACTTTAACACATGCTCTGATAGGCCGGGATCAGATCGGAAATGCAAATACAAAATCCAGATTAAAATAATCCATTACTGATGCTGACTTAATAGACTATTTTCTATTCAGGTTGTTGCTGTGTTTTGCCTTTTTAATACAGTTTACAATATTATTGTCACTTTTTACTGCTCACTGATGCCATTTCCGTTTGTTATTTATAATTTGGTCTATGCATTAGCATTAGCATCTGTAACCCACAGGTGTGTGTCCTAACCATTAAGTTGTTATCAGAGCATTAGCATTAGCATCTGTAACCCACAGGTCTGTGTCCTAACCATTAAGTTGTTATCAGAGCATTAGCATTAGCATTAGCATCTGTAACCACAGGTCTGTGTCCTAACCATTAAGTTGTTATCAGAGTAAATCCCTGTTCAGCATGAGTCTGACAACTAAGCAAGTAGATAAATAACTTTAGACTTTAACACATGCTCTGATAGGCCGGGATCGGGACGTCCCTAACGTAAACATCCCAGGTTTGTGTTTTCCCCAAAAAGCAGCTCCAGCCCCTGTGCTCCACCAGAGGAAGTTTTGTTTTTATTCTCTAACCAGACAGGATAGACCACATGCCACCTCAGTTTAAGACTTCTAGGAATGTCAACTGTTTTTTATTGAACTTTTCATGTTTTTCCTACCTTTTTCTGGCTG